CGGGGAGCAGCTGGAAGAGGTCAATGGGGGAGAAGGGGGGACTTATGTAACACTTTCAACAATAAAGATTAAACACAAAACAAAAACACCAAAGCAGCGGCTCCTTCCCCACTGGCAGGCCTCACCTCTCGGTCGGCTCTGCTTCCCAGGACCCCCAGCGCCTGCGGTCAGGTTTCCACCGGTCATTACCTGCTGTGTCTTCCGCAGCCTGTGACACGGCGGGACTCTTCTCTCCTGCGGTCCCAGTCCACCCACTTCTCTTCCCACCGCCACTGTCAAGGCCAGCCACCCCACTGGTGAACACCACCCTACTTTCTGTCTCTGTGCACCTGACCACTCCAGATGCCTCGTGTAAGTGGAGTCTTACAGTATTTCTCTCTGTGACTGGCCTGTTTCACGCAGCCTGTGTTCAGCACTCCCGTCTTTGAACTGGGCTTTTTCCTGTGGAGTTGTAGCAAGTGGGTCCCTTTCAGCAAGAGGTGAACACCAAGTGGGAAGCCCCGCGCTGCCGCCTGCAGCCACGGTGGAGAGCCTTCCTGAGAGTGGCCCCAACACCCAGGAAGCAGAGCCAGAAACAGGGAGAGGAAACCCAGATTCTCTCACAGCCTGTGCGCCTGGATCAAGCCTTGCCTGAAGGCAGCAGGTACTGCCAGACTCCTGGGTACACAAGACAACAAGTTCCCTTTTTGCTCTGGCCAGTCTAGGTCAGGTTTCCTGCCAGTATCGCGTGTGTCCACAGCTAAACCCTCAGACAGATGCACAAGGAGCAGGGGAGCCCGAGGAGCCTTTCCGGTCTCCCCGGAGGGTCCTGGAGGCTCCTGGTAGGTAGCAGAGGAAGTCACAGGAGGGAGGGGATGATTTATAGTGTCCTTCCTGAGAATCTGCTAACGACAGTCATTCATCATCAAGTCCCCAGGCACGCGGCCAGGTGTGATCTCCCCAGCCTGTCAGGGGTGCCCTGACCAGACCCAGCTCTGGGAGCTCCAGAGGGGCTGTATCGGCCATGCCCCCATTAGCTCATCTCCTTTGTGCCACAGATTAGGCCTCCAAGGCGAGGTCCCAGGCAGCTGACCTATCTGCCCACGGCCACACAGCACGGCCGGACCTGGGCCCAGGCGCGGTCACAGCCGAGTCCTCTCCACCCACGCCGTGGGCTTGACTGGAAGGAGGGACCTCCCCGCTGAGCCTGGGGTGATGCTGATGTTTTTGAGAAAGAGCCCAGTTGCCCCGCCTAGAATGGCAGGGGCTCCTGTGCCCTCCCTCCCTCCCGGTGGGCCTGACTGCGGTGCTGCCCAGGCCTCACAGCACCCGTCAGCAGGTGGCCTCTGGCTCTCCAGCCGGTTCACCTCCACGTAAGAAGTCTCTCCAGGTGCCCGTGAACGCTCCTAACAGCACATCCAGCTGCAGTGACTCAGGCAGAATATTAACGAGGCTGTGCTTACTCCTCTGGCGGGGCCTGCGGGGCCTGCTGGGAAACGCAGCAGAGCAGGGAGAATCCAGGGCCACCGGGGGCTCAGGGCCCAGTGCCGCAGGCCTCCCCCTCAGTCTGCACTGGCTCCCGCCCTCGGAGACAGGCTGGCAAGGACTGCCCTGTAGGTCACCCCCAAGCCCCAGACCATTTAGAAGGAAAGCTACACCGCCCCTTCCCTCGATGGGGCACCAGTGGCCGCTGGCCCTGCGGTCAGCCTGGGGTTGGCAGGTTTCCTTCAGGGGCCCCAGGAGCAGGCCACCCTGGGTGGGCAGGAAAGTGAGAGAGGCCAACGTTCCGCCTCCTACCTGGAAACTGCTGCCCGCTGGCTGGCCGGGCACCTGCTGGGAGGGAGTGGGGAGGGGTGCCCCTGCCCTGCCCCCAGCCTACCTTTAACCGGCTGGGATGGGCGAGGCAGCCCAGCTCTGGGTGCGCTGCTGAGCGAGGGGGCAGAGGCCATTCCTTTACAAATGAAGCCCCCAGGAGAGGGGCTGGGAGACCAGGAAACTCCCCCTCCCAACGCTCAGCCGGTGCCTCCTTTTACCTTCATTCTGCCGGTGCCTCCTTTTACCTCATTCTGCCCTCTCTGGCCCCCTGCCCTGCCCTTCCTGGGGCCCTGGGTTGGCATAGAGCTGACGTGTGTGGGGCTGGGGAGAGCTGGGCCAGGCGGAGGCCAGCAGGGGTCCCTGGGCCGTCCCTGGGATCTCAGGGAAGTCCGCACCCTGGCCTCCCTGGAGAGAGGAGGGGCTGGTTCTGGCTCGGAAACCCACAGACACGTTGCTGATGAGCCGGGGTTAGGCCAGGAGGTGAGAGCTCCCTGCCCCCCCACCTCCGGCTGGTGATGGGCTCCAGGGCGTGGCCTCCAGAAAAGCTGCCCTCTTCCCTGCTCCTGCTCCAGGCGCGTCTGACCTTGGCCCTGGGAGAGCCCTCCATGCACCTGGCAGGAGCCACGGCCACAGCGTCCTCCTCTCCCACCTGCGA